CCAGAGATTTTGGACTGAACTCATATATATTTCCATTCCTACTAAAAAATACATGAAATAGAGAAAAACATATAATGAAAAGAATAAATCCATATCAGTTCTTATAATTTTCTGGGTAGGGCAAATAATGTGTGAGATAATACTAAATCCCAATGGATTATGATAATAACAATTCATTATTCACTCAGGTCAGGGGCTGGGGATTTAGCTCAGCAGCACAGAGCCTGCCTGCCTGGCAAACGCAAGGTCATGAATTCCCCAGTACTCAGAATTCAGTTCCCGGTACCGGAAAACAAACAAACAAACAAAAAAACCTCAGGTCATAGTCTAGTTCTAGAGCCGAGGAAAGTGAACAGCATTGCTTTCTGTTCTCTACCTCTACCTCAATCTAACAGTTAGCGGGAGGAAGGTCTTGGCCTCCATCCAATGGTCAGAAAGCATGATGGGACCCTGAAGGAAGACTTTTAGGGGTCAGTCTGAAAGACGCATGTTCCATTCCTGCTCAGAATCCATTGACCATAACTCAGTCACATGATCATTTCCAACTGTATGAGGATAAGGAAATAGAAGGTGAAAAACAAGGAAGGGTGACTTCAGCAAATCAGAAAATCTGAGGAATTTGAGGAATTTCTTGAAGCTAAGAAGTCATTGGGATTGGACCGGTAGAAACAAATGCACAGAAGAATCCATAGCAGATAAGAAACACAAGAAAAAAATTCAAGTGGGAAAAATTTCTGCAAAACTGAAGTATCCAGTTTCAAGGATACGTCAAGCTCAGTCAACAAATACAAATCATAGGAAAAACTTCTGGAACTGTTGTCAGGAAAACTAGTGTTTTAAACTACATTTAGGAAAAGCCAGGCTGCCCCACGCTGAGCAGCAGAGACTATCAGTGCCGGTCCCAGGATGCCTGGTGTGAAGGTCAGTCCTGGGCAGCAAAGCAGAATAGAGTCCGAGACAATTTGGGGCCTCCACAAGGACAGCAACAGAAGAAAAAGAAAGTGAGCTCAATACTAGAGTGCTTTGGCCAAACTGCTCAGTATAACCTGCTGGAGTAGGAATTCTAACCCAGAAACTCAGTAGACCTGGGGCTTAAAGAATAGGCAGGGTGTTCAGGAAACTTAACACTGGAGATGGGAGACTTTTTCATTCAGACTGAAGGCTTTGGACACTATTTTTCAGTCACACACCCTGGTTCTTCTTGAAAATTGCTACAAAGACAATATCATTCAAATTATAGGAAAACAAAGATCTTGAAAGACACAGCTGAGTAAATAGCCAGGAATGACAAGGTTTTCTTAAAAAAAAAAAAATTACAGTACTATGAAATAGTGACAAACAGCATTATGAAATGGTGACACCAAATGCAACAAATGCTATTAGAAGAACGAATTTTAAGATGATGCAAAATTTTAAGTACGTGTATCAATATATACAACGAGTCTGTGAGTCTGCCATACCATAAAACAGTAATTGTTAATTAGTGTTGGGAGACAATTCTCCATGGGTCTGCTACATTTTTCACATCTCAAAGTGAGGCATTGACTGCCCTTTGTTCTACACTATCTTTTCAAGGGTGTTTATTTAGCAAATGCTTTGGAAAACAGACTGTCTCCCTCCAGAGCAAGGCATATGCTAACTATGAGTATAATAAAACCATCTCCTCTGGAGTGGCAGGGAGATCTGCTAATAGACTCTGGAATCCTAAACCAGGGATTCTTCTCTATCACAGCCTACTGTGTATGTAGGCATTGTCTGCCCCTTTTTCATCATCCTCTAGGAACTAGGGCTCAAGAAACCAGTGCAAATACTGATACGCTGGCCACTGCTATCATGGGAGTAATAAACTACTTTTGTCTCTGACCCAGGGATATCATGCCATCTTCCACTACTCATGAAACTGTTGCCGGCTAGTTTTCATAGGTTACAACCTCAGGCCTTTCATAATTCTTAGCAATTACCAGGCAGAAATACTGAGAGCCTGAAATGGTGAACTGCAAGACCAAGTTAAGGTATTCTCTCAGAATTCAGTCCAAATGATAAATACCAGCCATGGGGGAGGGTTAAGAAATCTGAAAGACAGAGCCAGAGATTCAAATTTGACTCAGAAATTCTAAGAGAATAGAGAAAATTGAAAGTAGTAGATCGTGAAAAAAAGTTTTTGCCAAACTTAAAGAAACACAGTGAATCACCTAGTGAATTATTTCCTAATTACAAAAGGTACAGAGTACATCTTCCATATCAAAAGGTGGTGGAAACCACCGTAACCAAATTAACATAATTAATAGTAATGCAAACTGACTTGTGTGCTTTCTAATGTAGTACTCTAAGGACCCACCATTCTATAATATTCTTGACAAAAATGTTTACTCTGAATCTGGACATGTGGAAACAATTGAACAAACCCAAGTGGAAAAGCGTTCTATAAAATAATTGACTTGGACTACTCACTCAAAATTACCCATGACATGGGAAAAAACACAAAGATGGTTGCTAGATTAAAAGAAAATTTTTAAAAAGCATAAAAACTGTATGTCGCATATAGTTCTTAAACTGGTCCCTCAGTTTTTAAACAAAAGAGGCTAGAAAAGACACTATTGGAAAAACTGGGGAAATTTGAATTTGTAAGTTAAATAATAGTTTTACATCAAATTGTGTTAAATCGTATTTAATCAAAGTTTAAAAATTGTTGTGAAAGTTGTTTTAGGGTTGTATAATCCTTGTTCTTTACGAGATAAATACTGAAGTATCTAGGATAAAAAGTCATTCATGTCTGCAGCTTATTCTTAAATGGTTCATTACAGAACAAAATATATATTTTATATATAAAATTGACGTGATTTTTTTCAAAATAAAAAAGTGGAAAAAATAAATTGCAAATTCCAAGAAAATTTAACAAAAAGTGCCCCTGCCTAGACATACTGAGGATCTACTTTGAAACTCAAAAGTTTAAAGATTTCATACTGAAAATGTTTCAGAGAGCCATAAATAGGCTACATACAAAGTATAACTAGAAGATAAGGGAACAATGTCATCCAGGTTCTTAGAAAAGGCTAGTTTGAATGTAGATTTATACTCCTAGCCAATAGAATTTGAGTGTGAGCACAAAGAAGAAAAAAGAAAGGGAGATGTATTTTCAGTCCTGTAAAGATAAAGTTTTACGTACCACAGACTTCCTCAGAAAAAATTAGTCAGAGATATGCTCCACATGTCTTTCAGGATGCTCTCTCCTCTGGAATTTTAAAAAGCAGAGAGTTATTTTGGCAGAGTCCCTCCTTTTGTCCCTTTCCCAGATTGCAGTGGCCCCTGCCCAAGCTCACATCCTAAGGTTAATTCCGCCCATAGGTGGGTGGTAAATGGTCAGACTGCTTTTGCTGCCTGCTACCAAGAGGCAAAATGCAAATGTTTTTAAGAGGTCATTGCCCTCCAACTGTGAAATGGTAATGTGCTAAATTATGTGCTTAATTAATTTCTGCCCAACAGCTACCATAAAATTGAAAAAACAATTCCACAGGCAAGATGCATCCCCTTGGATGGATAATGTGCATAAAAGTACACAGCAAAGGATCAAAATTTCTCATCAGTAAACTTGTGTGTCTACTGCAGTTTGATGAAAGCTACACAGTTACGGCTTCATTGTCTCTTTCTTTTTGTGTTGCTGCCATATAGGTTGGGAACCCTAGAATAAAATGTTTGCTAATTCTTTTTGGATCAGAAGCCAAGAGAAAAGCTTCCTGGTAGATTTTACCACAAACAGCCACCCTCTTCACAAGTTTAAGTTTTTTAAGGCAAAAAGGGAAAAAAAAAATCACAGCTGGATTAGGGAAAATGAGAGGGAATGGATAGAGTTATCTTCAATGATATGAGCTGTAACAATTTCTTAATTAATCTAGAGCTGTATCAACATAATAAAAATGAAACTAGGTGAAACAGTAAAAGACACAAGTTAGCTACTCTTTTTTTTTTTAATACAAAATGTTGTACAAAGCTTTGCAATTATTTGTACAGTTTCTTATTGTCTATCTCTAGCACTTTATGTTTTATGAGACAGAGACTAAGTTTTTCTTTCATCTGAATTATTTCTAGCCTCAAGCCTAGGCATTTGTACTTACCTGACACTCAAGAAATATTTATAAATGAATTTACATTAAATGATAATAAATGAATTGGTTTATATTTATAAATGAATGAATGAACCAATGATAAAACCAGGTTTAAAGCCCAGTTCTCTGGACTTGTAGGTCATTCCCACCTACGTTACCGTATACATACCCGTTTGTGGACAAGAAGATTGTCAAAGCAGAATAAAAGACGTTACTAGAGTAAATCGGGCTTATTTACTTGAGATCAGTCATGCTAAAAGTGCAAGTCTTAGAGGATTGGCAGGACATTGCTGTGAACAGCTACCTAGTACAAAGCCCACAGCACTTTAGTGGATGGCATTTTAATGTCTCAACACGAGAAGGCTGGATCATACAGCCTTACAGAAGGATGCACTAAAGGTGGTTGCAGAGCTGAGGAATTGAAAGGGTCCATGATCTCTGTTGCAGTCCAAGACAGCAAGCATCTTGAATCAGAGAGAACAGCGGGAACTCCTGCAGAGTGTCACCTGCTGCAGGCCCTTTTCACCTGCCCCTGCCTGTGAGACCAAAAACGGCATGGTATTATCTCCCCCACTAAAGCAAACTTGATCTAATTTAGAATCAGTTACAAGGCATCAGTCCTTCACCAAAGTCAAAGGCTTTAATTTTATCTCTATCTTTAGGTTGCACTGACTTCAATGGTGTTCCTCAGAGTGCTGCAGAAACATAATACACACACACACACACACACACATACACACACACACATACACCTTTTTTCAATCATGCAGAAAGCTATTAGTGTGAATATAGCACTTGACTCAAAGCACATCCACTCTTTGCAATAACATCCTGGTATAGAATTTTCATTTGAGTTTTCTAATCCTCTTCTCTTTCCCAACAACCTGTCCACTTTAGGAAAGGAAGCCGGTGGGGGAACAAAGAGTTTGGACTGCAAAATTGAGGAGAGTGCTGAAACTCCTGCCCTAGAGGACTCCTTGTCTTCCCCCAGTGACAGTCAGCAGCACTCCTGGCAGGTTTCCACAGACATCGAGAACACCGAAAGGTAAGTGGGAAGCGACCCTGGATACACTGCCAGAGTTCTCCCCCGGGGAGTGTTTTTAGGGCCATAAGAGTCCATGGAAGTTCTATATCGGGTCAAGAACAAACAGAGCTCTCCTTGGTCTGCAGAGAAAACACAGGCCTGGAAGAGACAATGGAAACTGCCTAACCCACAGATAAAGACTGAGGTTTGAGGAAGTACTCTCAGTCCTGCCAGGGACGCAGAGTCCTGGGCTCAGCTCGTCCCCCTGTAGCACACAGAGACTCCATGGAAAACGAAAAGCACATACTTCCTTGGAAGGGAGAAGGGACCTATGCACTGACACAGTTCATCCTCTGGGCTGCTCCCCAAAATGCCATGTGCTTAAGGGAAAAGAATCGAAAATCCTGTGAAGATGTTTTTAGTAGATGCTTGAATTTCAGGTATGGGAAATGGCTTTCTTGGATGCCAGGTGGGGGCTCAGAACGCTGTGTGGTTCCACAGAGGGCTTTGCAAGGAGCTTGCTTCCCTTTTTCTCCCAGAATGTAGCTGAGGGCCCCTTAGTGGTCAGAGTAAGTCGGTGCATTATCTTAGAACCAGCAGCTCACTCCCAGATGGGAGTTGCCTTCTGGGGAAGAAGACATTCCGTGGTGATTCTATTTCGTTTGGGAAAAGAAGGCAACAATAATTACTAACCAGTGCTATGTCTCATCTAGGTGCTCAGAATGCCATTCTGTGAGGTAGAAAGATGAGGCCTTCATCTGATACCTGTGCCCTTTGCTACCTATGTCCCCAGAGCTGGCCCAAAGCAGCTGAATGAATACTGGGCAGTTCTACTGTGTTCTTTGTGTGAGAGGTTGAGTCATTGACAAAATAATGAACATTTTACTCTTTATTTTTAGAACTGTAACACACAATGACACTTATAGCCATTGTGGTTCTGCTTTCAGATTGTAATATAATTCTAAAGCTAATTACTGAATTTCTGTGTTTATAGAAAATTGGAGCATGTGGTAATTACGTGCTATTAATAAAACTTGAATTTTATGAGCTTGAATATCCAAGACTTCAGACAATAAAGCTGTTTGGCTCGGCTTGATAGGATTCTAGGCAAATCATGAAGGACTGGTTTATCTTAGTTGATAAAATAGAAAACGCCCGGTGGGGGAGGGGAGGTGTATCTGCCAGAACGCCGCGGTCAGAGCAGAATTCATCAGTAAGCCATTTTCCCTCTCAGTCACCTTGCACAGGAGCTAGAACCACGGCTCAGGAGCTTTAAGAAAGTGAGACAGGGATGCAGAAAGCATAGGGTAGGACGGCCACAGAGGCCGCAATGTTTCTGGTCAGCCTGGAAGTTCAGATTCCAGCCAAAGGCATGTGAAAGAGTGAGTGCAGCCCAGACAGCACACTGGCATCCAGCTTCCTGGGTTCTTTCTCCCTGCCTCTGGTCCCTGAAACCTGTGAGTCTCAAACCCAGTTGTGCATATATTCACCATGAGGGCTTTTGAGAAACACTGATAACTGAGCCCCATCAAAAGCCAGCTGAGTCTACTTCTCTCCACATGGGCTGGGGTATAAGAGACTGTTCAGGTGACAGCTGCTGCTCTCCGGGAAGACTGTGCCACAATCACAGTAGTGCATTCCTGAGCCTTTTCTATCTTGCAGATCTCACATGGAAGCCAAATGTACCCTGTGTACTTTATGGGGGAGCGGGTGCTGCTTCCCTCTCAGGCCTCAGTCGCTGACCCATCTGGGAAAGTATTCCTACTGTTTTTACAGCATTTCTACAGCCTCCAGGCTCTTTCCCTTCCTTTTCCAATGACCAGTTCCTGACACCTGAGCTCCTTTTTACATCTTAGCCCGCACTCTTGAGGAGGTGTCTTTGGCCTCCCTACAGACAGTAGCCCTGGAACTGTGTTCAGCAAACAGTTGTGTTTATGAAATGGACTGAAAGATTTCATACTTAAAATTAAATGCCACCTCTCTTTCTTCAAATGCCAGAAGAAAAATAAATGAGTGGGTAGAAGTTTTTTCAACTTCAGAATTTTTCCCCTCAAGTTTCTCAAACCGTGGTGCCTGCTAATGCTTGTCCATCCTGGAGTTGATTAAAGATGTATCTGGGTTTTCCACCACTTTTTATTTATTTACTTATTTATTTATTTATGTTGCTGTTTTAGAGGTGTCTTGGACCTTCATTATCTGCATTGCATGATCTCCTCGATGTGTATGTGAACCACTGCCCGGGCCAGGAAAGGCAGCTCTCCTGCTATGCTGGCCTAGAAGTCTCTGAGACAGCTGCCAGCTTCACAGTCCTGGGGTTTTACAATCATATGCTCTGTGAGATAAAGGAGGGTGTTGGAAATGTGCAGCGATGTGGTATGGCCTGCTGCAGGTTGAGGCACCAGGAAGCCAAGAAAGACAGACCAGGCCCCCCCCCGGGGGTCTCTTCTCCCCCTCCCCCTCCCCCTCCCCCCTCTCCCTCTTCCTCCCCCTATGTCTCCCCGCTGTCCCTGTCCCTGCCCCTGCCCTGGCCCCTCCCCCTTCCCCTGCCCCTGCCTCTGCCTCTGCCTCTTCTCTCTCTCCTCATGGGAAGCTGTTTTCTGGAGGCTTCAAATTTATCACTTTCACATCATTCAATTTGCTAAGCACTGGTGCTCACAAATATTTAACATATGTGTTATGCTGAATTCCAATTGTAAGAAGAGACTTAAACCTAAGCAGGCAGAAGTGGGGGACCTGCACAGCCACCGGGGTCTCTGACCACAGCCTTGGTAGCACCACCCGCCTCCTCGGCTTTCCCCAGGGCCCACTGCTCCAGTCCTGTGTTCCTGGGCTCTTCCTGTCAATCTGACATACTGTCCTCCCTACAAAACCTCTTCTCCCATCTCAGCCAGGTCTGGTCAGGGGTCAGGAGGAGGCTCCCGCTGGAGAAGGCCCTGATAGAAATGTTTGCCAGTGTCTCACTCATTCCTTCCAGAGCCAACCCGGCTCATACTCCTTTCTCATAAAAGCGAAATAAACTCAACATTTGCCCAGGGGAGGCTGGAGCTACAATTAGGCACAGAGTCTCGTCTCGCCCTTCAGATGTTCCGTAGTCCAGACTTTGAGATTTCATTTTGAGAGTTCACAGCTGATTATTCTGTGTTTTTATCAATTTTACAGAGACATGCGTGAAATGAAAAACCTTTTAAGCAAACTCAGGGAAACTATGCCTTTACCGTTGAAAAATCAAGGTGAGTTTTGACATTTCTCTTTGAGGCAGAGGATGTTTTATAACATGATAAACATGGGGCTTGTTTCTGGAGAAATTAAAGCAAGTGCTTTCCATTTTGTAGCAGTAGAAGGCATTGACCATACATGTGTCTTTCTTTGAAAATATGTGATAATGAGTGTGTCTCAGGCAGTCTGAAGGGGGCCAGGGAACACTTTGACCTGGAAGCAGACACCCCCACCCCCAGGCTGGGGCCTGTCACGTGCTGTGGAAAGCACTACATCAGGTGTGGTCACACAGAAGGACTGAGGACTTGACCTGTGACTTTAAGAGCTTTACAGCCAAGTAGAGGGATTTAGGAGTACTTCCAAAAGAAGATCACTGCCATCCACATGTGTGATTATCTAAAAAGTAAGACTAATAATTAACATACTGGGAGTCTACAGAGTGCCATATTAACTTAATTCTTTTGTTTTGTTGTGTTGTGTTAGGGAACCCAAGCCCCCATATATGCTAGGCAAGTGCTCTACCACTGAGCTATATCCCCAGTACCCTTATTTAATTCTAATAACAACTTTGAAAGCACTGCTATTGCTATTTCCCACTTTACAGGAAACTGAGACAGAGAGGCTTGTTAACTAAGCCAAAATCACACAGACTGAAAATAGAAAAGCTAGGAATGAACTCAGAGAGCCATCTCCAGTGCTAGGCCAGGAGTACACAATTTAATACAGAAATAGGATTTGCAGCAGAGTGAGGGAAGGCCCTCTCTATGCTTTTGTCAGCTGTCACATCCCCAGTAGCCAGGGCCTGGGACGTAGTAAAATAACATTGGCACAAACAATAAATGTTTGTTAAATCTGTGCCTAACCTTGCAGCTCCTGGACTAAGATACAAAAAAACAAGAACAATAAGCACTTTCTTTAAGCACAGGTAGCTAGGGCAGCCATGGGGAAGCATCAGCTTCAGAAAGTGGTACAGAGAAGGTCAGGAAAGGCTTTCTAGAAGCAAGAAAGAAGCTCCTCTCATTTCCACAGAGCAAAGCAGGACAGGGTGCTGCTTGCCTGGGAGTGAGGAGGAGGGGAGGAGGAGAACTTGGCAGCAGAGCTGAAGCGCCTCTTGGCTCAGGGACGAGCTCAGCAGAAGGTGTAGAGGTGGAAGTGAGAACACCAAGCGAAGAAGCTGAGGAGCAGTGTGGCTTGAACTGCATGGGGAGGGGTCAGAATCAGAGGCAGGGAATGTGGTACATCAGGAAATCCACGTATCCCAAAAGAGCTTGGCCGCCAAGGCCAACTGGCTTGAGCCATAAGTGTAGTGCTTTGTAGTGTGCAAAGAAAGTAGACAACTTGCTGCTGTAATGAGAGACTGCTCCAATCACAGCATAGCAGGTCGTTACTAGAAATAAGCATGGTATTTAGGATCCAAGGGCTTGAACTAAGGTTAGCCTTGGGTCCGAACACTGGCTCAGCCCCTCACCCACTTTACACTCCAGAACCAATGTTTAACTTCTGAAAATGTCAGTTTCCTCCTCCCTAGAAAAGGGACAATGGTTTTACTTACTTCAGAGGGTTGTGGTCAGGATTAAATGAAGTAATGCCCGTATGCCTATTACCAACCTTACAGAGAAAAATGCCTGACAGATGCTGTCTTATATTTCTGTTGCTACTGTCATTACTAATATTATTTATTAGTTGGCTCACCCAGCTTTGCTCAGGGAAACCCCAAGTCACTGTAGAATAGAACGGTCCCTGCTACCACCCATCCTGAGGAGACTGAGTCCCCAGTCCATGTAAGGCTCGCCTTCAGCCTGCAGTTCACAGCACTGGTCCTGAGACTTCAGACTTGGAGATCGTGTCAGAAGATTCTTCAGTGCTTTAATGCATTACCCGTAGGGGCTGAGCCTCCCATTCCAATGCCCCAGAAAAAGACTGCCCAGGATCCCCCAGCCTGTATTTCAAATACTTTTACATCAGACCTTCTTAAATATTTCCTCCACATATAGTAATAATTCATCCAATAGGATTTGAATTACACTTTAATGGAAAAATCATCTCACTTGTCATTTTTATACTGATAAAAAGTATAATATAAATATTTTCTATAACTTCATCTTACTTTAGTAAACAAAAAGGTATTTCAATTTTAAAGACTTTTTAAAATATGAGAATAATAATCGACATTGATACTGTGAGGGAAAGTATAAGTGAAAAGAGAATAGTCACCCAGATAAGTGATACCATGTCTCAAGTCCTCCATGTACTTGGAGAATAGAAAGGAAAAGGCTAGGAGGTATGAGGACTTACTGCTCTGACAGAAGTGGTACAATAAGATGTTAATGATAATGAAAAAGTAAAAGTAAAGCATTGTTGGAAATTCAAGTTTCTTCATGTCGGGGAGAAATGGAAGCCCTGAACAGGTGCAGATCATCCCTGCTCCATGCTTGTTTAACGCGCACCCCAGCAAGTCATTGTGAGCTGAGGCGGGGGGATAACTAAAGGGCCCTGGAGAAGACCAGCAGCAGGAGACAGGACTCTTGGGATCCCCCCAGAAACACTTTTTGACAGATGTATATGGTGCCATTTTAATGAACAAGTCATCCAGATTCTTCTCCAGAACGGCAGAAATCAGGACACACCGTAGAGGCTTCCCCACTCAGGTGATGTGTTTGTTATACCGGTCTAGGGTAACAGGTGTGGGAAATGGCGTGGGGTGAACTGTGGAAAAACTATTCTAGTTCTTTTCTGCAGAATGTTATTGTCAAAACAGGATTTTTACTAGTTGAAATCCATTACAAAAAGCCATCTGTTCCCTTTCTGGCTTTTTAGTTCCCTTTTCTCTTTATTTTATGTGTGTGAGTGTTTGGGACAGAGTGGGAGCAGAGAGAGGGGTCGGGGAGAGACGCCAGCTCTGATCCCGTGTTTTGGCCTTGAGCCCTGACCTTGTGAGATCTGCCTGCTCGGACTCTGCTCTTTTCTGCACTGTGTCTCGGTTCTCATGCAGAACGTGTTCTGTGTTGATTTCAGCATTTAAAGATTTAACCGTATCTTTCCCCTTTCCTACACATTGACGTTTAATAGAAGTTTACTTTAAATTGATTTTCAGAGGAGGAAAAGGAGGGTAGCCCGGGGCAGCAGTTTTAATGGTTAGGCGTGTGGCCTCTGTCACAGACGAGGCCTTCGCTTTCCCATCCCTCCAGTGTAAGACTGGAGACAAAGAGGGGCACAGAAGAAGAGCAGGCCACCCTTGTCCTGCTGCAGCTCCCCGGCAGGCTCTGGGCAGCGTCCAGGTCTCCTGGCTCCCGGCCCGCTGCTCTTTCCCCTGCTGCCACGTCCTGTCCTAGATTCTGGGTCACTGGCAATGCTGTAGGGAGCTTTATTAATTATGATCGTCTTGCTGTGTCAAATGGATTACAAATGGAACCACCTGTGGGGAGCCCACAAGGTTACTGACAAAGGCTAAAAGGAGATTAGAAAGTGAAGGACAAGCATCTTCTAGATGCACGCTGTTATGAAACAAAACAAATCGGCAGAAATCAATTAAGTCTGAAAGTCAGTTTCACCTTTTCGGAAATTCTGACTTAATGACTGCTGTGGAATGTGTTGGTGTATTCCGTCTTGCCTAGAAATTGGTCTGGAAGTAGGTAAGTCAGAAATTGAATCTGTTCTAGAATGGATGCCCTCCTGGGGACAGTACTCCTCCAGACTAAACTGGGTCAACCAAAGCCTGTCCCAGACTCACACCCCCTCTGCTCCAACCTGCACTCCATATCCAGAACCAATGTGGCTGCTCAGATGCAAGAGTCCTTGGACGCTTGGCTAAAGAACACTGGGAGTGAGACCACCTTCTATCCTAGAGATGGCCTTTTAGTTCCTTTCCCCACTGCATCATATGAAGATTTCCTATGCTTCCAATTGGTATCAGAAGGCCATTCTGGACAGTTTTACCAGTGGCTGTGTGAAAGTGGCTTTTGTCTCAGATTCAGTATGATACATGAAATCCCCCCATTCCAGTCTAATTCACACGTCACTTCCAAATGCGTTACTCTCACCATCCTGAGTCCCTACTCACAAATGTTAAATGTGTACTCATTGTCCAATAGAAGAAAAAGCAAAACCTCTCTCCCCAGCATCTATGGCCCTATCATCATTCAACATGTAAGAGCCCCCTGTGATGTGACAAGTTCTAGGCTAAGATGTCTCTTCCCCTGGAAGCTGTCCCTCTTGCCAGAGAAGAATCAGATGAGAATCTCTTGGGAAGCTTTTCCAAATGACAAATGACTCCCCTCACAAAGGTTGTGGTGAGCCTTCAGGGAAGGCAGGTGGATTCTGAAAATCACACACACACACACACACACACACACACACACACCCTCATACATTATTGGAAAGACACAGAAATTAGCATTTAGAACATAAATACCCCTGTAACAATTAGACATAGGTGACTACAAGAACATAGTCGATTGTCACCTAACCCAGATTTGAGTTGAAAATGGAAGATTTTTCAAGCTTGCTTTTTGAAAGTTTTTGAGCCAACATTTTTTAGAATGAGTAGGAGTTGCCAAAAAAAGAAGAAAAAGATGAAAAAAGACAGCCTAGGCAGAAGACGCTGGATGTGAGCAGGTACATGGGGAGATTAAAGAGCAGGGCATTTTTATAAACTACAGTCTCCAGTAGTTGGGAAAGTGGTTAGACGGAGACTAAAGAGAGAGGTGAGAGAGGTAGGTGGGCTATACCTTTAAGGCCCCTGTAAGTGAAATGAAGATGGTTGCATTTTATGCTGGAGCTGGTGGAAAAATTCAGTTAGGAGGTAGGTGCAGTATCCAGGTGAGAAATGCCTAAGGTCTCATCTAAAGCTTGGAGACTGGGGAGGAGAATGTGGCCTGCTAGACGTGGAATATCAAGAAAAAGGCAGAGTCAAGATTGGAACTGCATTCCGACCTGGAAAATGAGGGAATGCTAGTGTCAGTCCTTAAATGAGGGAGAAGGGGAAGCAGTAGAGGTAGAGAAAAATTAAAGTTTG